CCATCGTTCGTTATGTCCATGTAGCTTATAGAGTGTACAGGAGCGTCGAACAGTTTTCTGGCGGCCAATTCCCACGTGTCGCCTGTCAACGCAAAGATCAGGACCTCCTGACCGTAAGTACCGAGCAAGATCTCGTTTTGACCGTCCATATTTATGTCCGCGATACAGCAGCACAGAATACAGTCCGACGATTCGCTGCCGCTCAATATTACGTCCCGTTTCATCCCGTGCTCCAAGATATCTCTGGTGGAAGACGGATACTCGCATCTTAATCGTCATATGCATGAAAAATCTTCAGATACTTATTTTTATTAATTCATAAACTACTTACTTAAAGACAACAGCGTTACTCGTACTCGAAATAACGACATTTAATTTCGGGACATCATCCTTCGGGACACATTTCTCGACTGAAATTTTTAACAATTTTTATCTTTGTCTTACACACACACGCACGTACAACGCACCTAAAAGTCCTAAAATACTTACAATTGACGTCTACAAAGGTTGGTTTACTAATGGCATTCCTGTGCGGGAATACTATCACACTCGGTACAGGCTTGTCGTATCTTAGCAGCCAGCTTCGAATAACCTGTAGGTCCACGACGTTTACTATGGCAACTTTGACTAGACCGCATTCACAGCCGACGGCGGTGACCCTCCTGGTTTTGCACGCGTGAGACGGTATAATAAAATATCGAAATAAGAGAACAAAGCGCGATTTCGTTTTTTATCATACAAACCGTTTGTAATTGTCGTAATAATAAATATTGATCCACAGTGCAATCGCTTGGATGTCATGCAGTTCCGGGAAATATTTCTCGATAGAGGACTCGCTGTAAACGTGGCTTAATTTATCTTCCCTTATCATGTGAATTCTATAATCGCTTCCAGATATCAGCCAGACTACCTGCAAATTTGGAGTTGTGCTGTATCACAAAGCGGCAAGGTGTTTGTGATGGTGCAAAGCGATTGTAGCTTATTGACAGTTTAAACTATGTATTTCCAATATACCTCCTGTACAGAATTTTCTTGCGGTAAAACGGTATGATACAGATGGTAGGGAGTGTACGACAGCTCCACCATGAGACAATTCTGCGCTATGGCTTCAATCGAACTGCCCTCATCCCCTTCGCCGTCGACCGCACCTTCCGTATATATGTTCAAGTACCTTTCTATCGTGTCTGTGCTTGTCTTCATGATCGTTATGCCTATCACAAAACTGTCCCCGGTGTCGGACTTGTTGTAAGCGTCGATGGAAATAATTTCTGCTCCACCTGAGGAGCAGATGAAAGAAAGATTACACATGACGCAGATTGATTATAAAGAAGGTACACTGATCAAAGAAGGTACATCTCCGAACATAATGGTTTATACATACTGGGAATGTACGTGAACAGTAATTCCTTCACCATAGGCCTAAGAAACTCCGACGTTTGATGATACTCGCAGGAGTATATCTTCCTTTTCAAGGACGCCACCAATAACTTATTGGGACTGTTGGGCGAGCACAGTTTGGTCATGGAATAAATGTTGCCCTGCGACGCCAGGGGAAACCAGTGCGCATCTATGAGATTGCTCATCATCGTAGATCTCGTCAGGAAGACTGAAGCTAAAGTGAAATAAATAACATAGGCCAGTATTATCGTACTCCGTTTTTAAATTCAAACGTCTCTGGTCTTAAGATGTTATAAATATAAATCAACCACGGCATATTAGCGTCTTAAAAAATTACTTGACGGGCATCTATGGGGGGAGGGGGGCAAAACAAAACAAAAAGAAACGAAGTAGACAAACCTCTGTAGTCTATCGCGGCTCTATCACAAACTCATGCCGAATTGAGGTTAACAATTTGGTGCAAGGTGTTTACAACTTGTTACAATCGATCATTGAAGAGAGCTCGCTGTCTAACGTTCGGCCTAACGTGAATTCCGCGTCGAGTCCTCGCAATTTGCCCTCTCAATCTCATCCGGTCTCATCGCCGGACCCGTGAAACGCATCGCGATCGCGGACGCGGCGGGGAAAGTCGGGGAGAGAAAAGTCGTGTGCCTTCTTCTTATTCGGCAACGTAATTGCTCCGCGTGCGCGCGGAGTTTCGCAATCGCTTTCGTAATCGCCGTCGCCTTGAGGGAGCCGCCGAGTCGCGGGACGATGACGCGATACGTGAAAGTGGGTGTTGCCCGTCTCGCGACGGCCGGGCACAGTGCGCACCAGGCAGGCCACCAGCCACTCGCGGCACGGCACTCACTCACAATACGAGTACTCACACGGCACTCGCGCGAGTCACATCGACTACGGACCTGCTTTCACGTCCCGGCATCCCGAGTTTTCCCACCGACAGGAGATAGAGACCGGTAAGAGGAGCAAGAAACGTAAAAAAGGAGGCCGTCCTCGGCTCGTCTTCCTAGCTCGCGTTCGTAACTTGAATCGGTAATATCCTCTTTTCCTTTCTTACCTTTCCGTCGCGTCCCTATATCCATTGGTATCGGAGTCGACGGAGTAGCGATCCTTGGGGGGAACCGAGCTCCGATCAGTTTAATTGATTCATGTCCATTTCTACCAATGTAGATTACTTTAATCTCGGTTTAACTTTTTCTCATCCTTTTCTGGTTCTAAGAATTTAGAAGAAGACAAACAGTAAGGTAAACCGAGATTAAAGTTAATCTACATTGGTGTAAAGTGGTGTAAAAGTAAACAAACTGCTCAAAACAAAGCTTCTATCCTGTATAATTCGTCATGCTTAATATTTTTTCCATGTGTTAAACGGCAAAAAGTAATTCCATGTTTTTAACGAACAAAATACAGCGAGTATAGATATACTTGATAAACTAATCAATGATTAAATTAATCGGAGTTTGTGGTTTGAAGCGCGACGGAGCGTGACGCTGAGGACACGACACGACGTATGTACGTTCCGTCGGGAGCCGTCGATCGAAACCGCACCACCGGTTTTCGATCGCTAGCTTCGTCGTGCTTTGTCGCGGTGACCGATAAAATCTTTCTGGCGTCATCACGCCAACTCACGTGAAACGTCAAAAAGCGTCGATATAGCTGCCGGAGTCGATGACGCATATTCGTTAACGCTGCATTCTGTTTCGCCAGGTATATAGCTCCGCGGAGTTTCCTGCGAACCGTCACTGAGGAACGAAGGTCAAGATGTCGCAGCAAAAATATTATCCATTCAAGGTACGGGTACGTGATCGTTCGTAGAAATTGCCGAGTGGCGAGATCATCGCCGGTTAGCGCGACAATTAGCGGCATCGGTCTCTATTTCCGGAGCACCGGCGCGACGGGTGGAGTCGATCATCCGTATTTTTAACACGTCAGCCTAGTTCCCAAGTCGATTCGCGTTCCACCGAAGTTATGACTAATTGAGCGCGAAGTCGCCAACTATAGAATCTTCCTCGGGATCAAATCGATTTTGATATTCCTCTTGCACGAGGACTGAAGAAAATATACTTACAATTAAATGCCTGTCAATATCGTGGGAGTTGTCTCTGTTCCTTTTAAATATTTTATATGATTAAAATTTATGTATTTGAAATTAATACGATTCTCTGAATGCGTGATATATCCGATTTATAATCATGATTTTATAGAGCGTAATATTTTTTAAATAAAATATACTTAAATGCCTGTCAATATCGTGGGAGTTGTCTCTGATCCTTTTAAATATTTTATTTGATTAAAATTTATGTATTTGAGATTAATATGATTCTCTGAATGCGTGATATATCCGATTTTTAATCATGATTTTATAGAGCGTAATATTTTTTAAATAAAATATACTTAAATGCCTATCAATGCCGTGGGAGTTGTCTCTGATCCTTTTAATTATTTTATACGATTAAAATTTATGTACTTGAGATTAATATGATTCTCTGAATGCGTGATATATTCGATTTATAATCATGATTTTATAGAGCGTAATATTTTTTAAATAAAATATACTTAAATGCCTATCAATGCCGTGGGAGTTGTCTCTGATCCTTTTAAATATTTTATACGATTAAAATTTATGTATTTGAGATTACTATGATTCTCTGAATGCGTGATATATCCGATTTATAATCATGATTTTAGAGCGTAATATTTTTTAAATAAAATATACTTAAATGCCTATCAAT